AAAGGAATAACAGACCATATCCTACTTTGTTCATCATAAATTACGCCTATTTAAGCAGATGAGAAAGAACTATTACATCTTTCCACTGGTGAGACAGAAGTCAGCAACTAGTAGGACATAACACGAGCTTTGAAGAAAAGATTTTGCTGAAAAGGAGGGTGCAAGTAGAACAAGAAACTCTGAGGCCTTAAGAATTTGACACATAAAAAAACCCTTGACAAACTACAAAAATTTTATTACCACAAAGGACCTGATATTCTTCTCCAGTTTTTTGTTTTCAGTACCTTCCTCATGAGAAGCTAAATTTCTAGTAAGACACCTGGATTACCAGTTACGGTAAAAGCACAGGACAGTTCACATATATAAGTCTTCAAAATATAATATATTATTTTAGTGTCTAACGTATTTTAAGAACACTGAGCAAACTTTAAAGCTCAGGACACCAAGCTATTCCACTTGTCCTTCTTACCCAGACAGAACTCATTAAATCCTAACCAATGCCTGAGATACACCTCTCCTGATGTAAGATCGTGTAGTTCAACCACTAACCCGGTACTGCCAAGTCCACCACTAATCCTCTAAACTGATACACATACATGAAAAATTTGAGTTGCTATGCATCTATCTGAGGCTTCTGTTTTCCAAGTTTTCATCTTGAATGATGTGCAACCTTCATATAAGTGATAGAGCTTTTCAGAGAGGTGAGGATAAGAAAGACATGTGGAGGTTCAGAGGGTGTCGGGAGTACTTCCTTGAATCATAGAATCACTGGAAAAGACCTTCATGATCCTTGAGTCCAACTGTTAACGGAGCACAAGTCCACCATGAAACCCTGTCCCTAAGCACCACATGTCTTTTAAATCCCTCCAGGGATGGTGATTCGACCACTTCTGTGGGAAGCCTGTTACAAGGCTTGACAACCCCTTCAGTGAAGAAATTTCTCCTGATATCCAATCTGAATCTCCCCTGGCACAACTAGTTTCTACCAAAGAAATCATGATGATGACTGACTTTCTGAAGTAGTCTTGATAAATATCAGCAGTCTATGTCAACTTACACAATTTGGAAATAAAATATCTTATGTTTCTTTTCTCATACCTCCTACTGTAAATTAGTAACTAATACAAATTGTCCCAAATTCAAGACACAACGTGTACGTGTCATCATGAGTTCTTCATGGGCACCTGAAAAATTTATCAGCATTTATGCACGTTGTAAAGTATAAGGGAGAATATAATCTGATGTTTTAATGTCCTCTTGTTGAACATACAACCAGATGTGGGTCATCTGATGAAGATTTTCTTTAGCTTCCAGAAAGTTCACATTTTGACATCTTTCTGATGCTCTGGGGAGGTAAATTAAAGTTAGATTGTACTGTAATGGAAAACCAAATTTGTTAATTCAGGCCTCTTGACTAATGGGGTGTAATTCTTTCTTTCTCAGTTGTTGCAGTTCCAGTCCTTGAAAGTATAAGGGCCAGAAAAAAAGCAACTGGCTCTTCCGACTACTGAGAGTATTCCTTCTGAATGCAATCTTCAGGCTCTCTTGACAACTTTCCTTAGCAAAACTATAACTGAAATGGCATAAAGGCAACCTTCTCAGAGCAGCAAGAATATGGTTATCACTCTTGTAGTTGGTAAGCTGCCCATCTCCTCTTTTTTCCAAGTCTTATCCCATCTCAAACATCTGTAGTAGGAAAGCATTGTAAATACTACACAGGCAAACACCAGTTTCATTCAACTTGTAAAAACCATAAAATGAAAAAACCTTACCACATAAAACCCCTGAAGAGACATGAAATTGCAACAGATTATGAGAAGTGTAAAATTTGCAAAGCAAATTTATGCATACCACTGGCATAATACACTCCTTGGGCAATGCACAGATAAACAAACCTCCCCCTCGCTATTCCTCAGAACTGCAACCTACAGCCTTCCCAAACACCCAGGTTGTTTTTTCCCAAAGGCTGGTTCCCAAAAGGTTGGCTTTCCCAAAGATGGTCCAGTACCCCTAGGGAGCAGATCACCCACGCAGACTCAGGAAATTAAAAATGTGTTGGGGTTTTTTTTTGTTTTTTCTTTTCTTCTTGGATTGTTTTAAGCCTTAAGAAAAGCAGAACTGTCTCAGCATTGAGTACCTCATAAAACTTAGCTTCTTTCATTGAGCCTCAAAAGAAAATGGGCGAGCATGGAACAGAAATTAACAGACAAACACCAGTTAAAGCTATCATGATGTATCATTTATTTTAGACTCTTTTTGTGTGCATCTCTATGTGTTCAGGGACATTTCCTGACCACCTGTCCTCAAAAACTGTTCTTCCATGAGTGGTTTGAATAGCTTTTCTTATTCCTTTGAGAAGTAACAAAGTAATGATTTACGAAACTTTCTAACTAGAGGGAACACACATTGGAATCTGATGTGACAAGACTGGAAAAGCACCAAAGACCTGATGAGAGAACACTAATGAATCAAAAGTCATGCTATTGATATAAATCAATTAACAAGTGACCCTACCATGATCACAGATCCTCCACATTCCCCAAACCCCTAACTGGTCTTTCCAAATGACAATCTCAGGAAGATTGGAAATGCCAGCTTTTAAGGTTGCTATTTAAATTAGAGACTTGTCAACCATGACAATGTAACAGAATTGTTGTGTGACTATTCTCCAACTCTAAAGTCAGGGATTAAGATTTTCCTGCTATCCAATCCCTGTTTTCACATCACAAGTCAACTCTGTTTACTTGAGCTTCCTAGAGGAATGACTACCTAGATATTTCAGGAAGCACCAAATACCTTGGTTTTCAGATTTTAATATTAATTATAACTGGGTTTGAGACACTGCTGAGATTTGAACTAATGTCCTCTGTTAACCTTGACCAATCAGTCATTCTTCTGTTTTTAAGCTCCACATATTCCATGTGCTTAAACAGCAGGTAAAAACTAAGAGTTTCAACAGATTAGTTTTTGAAGAAGGCAAGGGCACTGACTGCCTTCACTGAAGAGAGCACTTACACAACTGGTTAGAGCAACGCATACACATGCTCTTGCTGTGGAATCCAGCTTTTATTCAGTTCACTGGTTTACATCTTTAGGTTTTAATTTTCTAATAGAAATGTGGGACCTGTAGAAACCCCTATGGAACTTGCTCCATTCTTATGTCAGGTATTTGTTATAGTTGGCTTACTGAACTGCAAATTTCCTTTTGGTGAGACTTACTGAACAAGGGACCCTTTGTAGAAGGCGGCAACACTACCCTTTTTATCTGAGCTTACAGAACCTTTAATTTGGGACTTGCAAATTTACAGCATTGTGAGATTTCCTTTTGCGCTCCTTATAATCTTGGGCCAAATTCTACCTTTACTTATCCCCACACAATAACTCACATCTCAAACTGCAGTTTGCAGAACGAATACCTCAGGTAGCATTAAACTATTTTTCAGTTTTTAAATTAGCATTAAAATAATTTTTCAATTACAAGAGCCACAAATGCTCCAACAAGAATAAACAGACTATGAGTTCCATGTACATTTCATATTAATTCCAGTCGCTTTTAAAACTGGAGATTCAACACAGATACACAGGTTCTGCCAACTCTGCACATAAATAAACTGAACTTGCTGATGGCACGGGTACAGCTCGATGCTGCTCTCCATGCCCAGCACTGTCAGTGCAGAAGCAAAGAGGAGTGGCCGCTTCAACAGAGATGTGCTGCCAAATATCTGTACATGGACCTGCTGCCCAGAACCTCTCTTGGAGCAGCCTGCAGACGTTCAAAGAATCCAGGTGGTGCTGCACTGGCTATCACAACCAAATGTACAAATCAAACAACAATAATAACTAAAAATTTCACATGTTCATTCACAGAAAAACAAACCAAAATGCTCTTCTTACTTCAACTGTGGCTCTAGCCTGTAAAGTGATTATGTATAAAGGAAAGAATTCAGTGTGACTTTCAGCTTTCATGAATTAGCAGAGGTTTCAAATGAAAAGGAAAAAACAAGGTCTATCTGAGTTACAGTCTGCCCAATCTGAGAGCTGTTGTCACAATAAACACATAACCCATGACGTGTCACCCATGTATATTTTCACTATCAAGCACAACAAAGACAGCAAGTATCCTTTGGCACAAAAGCCCCATGCACAACCTCCCCCTGTGGCATTCTCTTCTGATGCATTATTTGCCCTAGTGTGTTTCCAGGAGCTACACTCATGAGCAAGCACAACACTGCATTCAGGCACAGAAACATCCTCTCCATAAAGTTTCAATTAGCCTTTCAACTCAATTGCACTGCATAAAAAAGAATCTGGGATACTACATACAAGATGTCATGTTTCATAAGAAATTAAATAATATATTTTATTTTTCCTATTGACATTTAGTTTGGTTTTGAATTCAAAATACAAAGCCAAAAAAGCAAAATAAATTATCCTATGAAAGTTAACAAATTATTCCATTGTTTTTAATAGCACTGGGCAAATCCTACTGAATTAGGCATGAATTTGTCACATATGCAATAAAGAACTTAAGACTAATACATCGTTCCCATTGTAAATCTTATTTTTAGAAGTTACATGTTAACATTTTAAATCAACTCCAGGCTTAAGACTTGGAAATGCAATTATTCCACAAGCTCAAAAAAAACCACGGGAAGATGACTGACAACTTGATCTGCTTTTCTGACAACTGCTAGTTAAAGAAGATCCTTTATGAAATACTTGACTAACCTGATCGCTCTGTCTGATCAACTGCTGTACTATCTAAGGTACATTTGCACAAACTGCTCTCAGCCTGCATGCATCAAAACTGATGCCCGGGGCTTTGGGAAACAATTCCACAATGTGAGGGGTTACCCACATTTACCTTTTTCACTACCAGTACTGTGACTCCTGGGGAGCTGTCAGCATACACGTAAACCCAAAGTAAACAGAAGACAATCTTCCCGTAGCTCTATCCCTATTTCACCCTGCCACTACATGCCATATAAACGGAGTGTTACCATCCCTAAGTACTGTCCATCCGTAGCTTGTGAATCCCCAGGCGGTTCTGTGCGCCGCTTCACGGAGGGTTGCGGAGGGTGTACTTTCAGGACCCGCAGTACCCGGGAGTGCGATACTGCCGCGGGCTCTCCGGGAGCTGCCACGGCTCCCCAAAGGGTGGACGCCCCAAGATGAACAGTTAAACCAGGGGCCGGTGTGAAGTTTGGGCAGGGGCCGGCGGCTCCAGCCCGGCTCTCCCTGCAGGTATGCGCCGCCCGCCGGCCCGGCCCGGCCGGTGTGTGCCCGCGGCGGTGAGCGGCCCCGGCTGTCAGGGCTGTGCCCCCCGCCCAAGCACGGCCCCCGCGCCCCAACCAAACCCAGCCGCAACCCCAGCCAGCCGGGGCACGGCAGCAGCCCCAGGCGTTCGGACACTTACGGCGCTGGCAGAGTCCCGGCACGGCCGCCAGCAGCCGGGCCGCCCCCAGGAGGGCTCCGGGGCCGCGCTGGCACCTGGGCACGGAGACGATCCCCGCGGTGAGGCACGCCAGCAGCGGCACCCACATCATGCGCCGCGGCCGGCACCGCTCCCGCTCCCTCTCCTCCGGGCCGTGTCCCGGCGCCGCGGCGCGCTCAGTCCCGGCCCCCGCGGGGGCGGCGGCGGCGGCGGGGCCAGGGGAGGGGCGGCGGCGAGCCCGGCACAGGTAGGGCGCTCGGCGGGGCGGGCGCGGGCCGCCGCATCTCGGGGGCAGCGCCCGCCGCGCCCCCGCGCCCCGCCAGGGCCAGCCCCCCCCCAGCAGCGGCGGCCGTGGGGCCCCGGCCGAGCGCGGAGCGCGGTTCCCTCCATCCGCCTCCAGCCCGGCGCGCCGGGGGCGCCCCACCGCCCGTTCTCCCCGGGGGGCGCGGGGAGGCTCTTGGCACCGCGCGGGGAGCAGCGGCGACGCCTCCCCACCTCCCTCGGGGAAACGGGCGGCCGGCGGTTGTCCCCGCCCCCGCCCGGCAGCCGCCCCGCCCGCCCCCGCCGGGGCCAGGTGGGCGCTGCCAGCCCGGTCCGGCGCTGCTGCCGGGGCTGCTCCTCCGCGCCGCGGGCCGGGGTTTGGCGCGGGTTGGGGGTCGTGGGAGCGCGGCCGGCGGCGCTGCGCGGAGCGACGCGGCCCCACCGCGGCGGGTGCGCGCCGGGCCCGCGGGTCCCCCGGCTCCCCTCGGTTGCCCGGAGACGGCAGCGGGGCAGGTTCCGCGGTCGTGGGCGGGCCCGGCGGTGAAGTCACTGCGTCCGCCCGCGCCGCTTTGTTCGGGGAGGCGGGCGAAGGCCGTGGACAGAAGGCTGTGCCGCTCGCTCCTGCCGCGCCTCGCCCGTCGCCCCGGCCCCGTGGGAACTTCTGCGTCCCCCGGCGGGGCCGGCTCTTGCTTCGTGTGACGCCGCCGCTTCTCGCTCGGGCGACCCTCACGCCCGTCGCCTCCTCCTCACCCCGCGGCGCTGCCCGCCGGCCCCACAAACGCCGCCGGAGCGCCCCGATGGGCGCAGCGCGCCTGACCAGGGTGCGGGCCGGCAAACCGCCCCCCATCACTTAATGTCACCAAAACACACCTCCCCTCCTTTGCCGCCTTCCCCGAGTGATTTCTGCCCGGAGTTTCCACCCCTCCGGGCGCAGTGGGAGTAAAGCAAAGGTTACCGTACCCGGAAAGTACCGCGATGTGCGGGCCAGGAAAGCCCCGCCGGGCCAAGGTGCGAGCTCTCGCAGCCCTGCCCGGCCCAGCTCCGCTCCCCGCCCTCCTGCCGATCGTGTCACTGCTCCTCCCGAGGGCTCCGCTGTCTGGGGACGCGGTGCGTGGAGCCCTTTTCCCGGCAGGTGAAACGCACCTGGGCACCTCGCCCTGTCACACGCCGGTGGCCGAGCCCCCGCCTCCCTGGGTTACCGGACAGGTGTGCCGGCCTCGGGCCCCTGGGCTGAGCACAGTCAGCCATCGCCAGCCCGGTGTCGTCCTTTCATTTCTGATCCTAGTGACAGAACAGATGTCGGTGCACGCAGGATCCCACAATAGCATGTCGATGCACCACCCAAGTCTGCCTGCGCAGGGTACGACATTAATAAATCCTGAAAATGCAAGCAGTGTAAATAGTGTAAGAGCTGAAAGAGCCAATAGTTTAGGCCTCTGTGTGTGCAGGCCACTGTAACTGTGTAAAGTATTCTGCTGGTTTATGTAAAGGGCAGCTTTTTCCTATTTCTTTAGCTTCATTCCTCCCATGGTCAGATCCAAAGACTTAAAAACATTTACTTTGCAGTGATAGCATCTTTGAATAAATTGTTGTTCAGACAGTGTTTATAATGCAATAATATAATTATGCAGGAGTTTTGAATAATAATTCTAGTTTTGCAAGTGAAGAAACCGAATCATCCAAGATCACATAACAGACATGGATCAAGGAGTTTAAGACAACCGGAAATGGATTCAAAACAGCCTCAATCCATTGTCCTATTCACAGGGCCGTGAATCCTTGAGGTAATGTGGTTGTGGAATCTCTGTCCTTGGAGATATTTGAAACTCAGCTGAACAGGTCCCCAAGCAGCCTGAACTAATTGGATCTGTTTTAAGCAGAGGGCTCATTGCACCTCAAGGGGCTTTTTCCAACCTATGCTATTCTACAAATTTCTATGGTGGAAAGTGTTTTTTAAAAGCTCTTTTATTCCATGTGTACCAAATTTCTTCAAGTGTTATACCTGTGGCTTCTTTTCAGTATTTACATTGGTTTTATTGAAAACAAAATACAATTGTCTATCACAGTGTTGGTGAATCGACTCTCTTTTCAGGAACAGTTTTGAAAATATTGCATCTGCAATGAATGTTAACTAGAGCTGGTCAAAAACCCCAAAACATTTCTTACAAAACCCATGTTCCTTTTTTGGTTGAATATTTCCAACCATTTTTAATGTGCCATTTCATGGGGGAGAGTCCAAACCAAGACTGCAAAGGGAAGATTGATGGTGTTTTACAACTTCTAATATCACAACTTTTTTAAAATAAAAAATGCACTCTGTTTCATCAGGAGGTCCTGTGATTTCTTACATTATCATGGCATCTTAGACACAATTAAAATCCCCGTAAAATGCATGATGGTGTATTTAAATTATTTGTACTTTCCCCCAACTTCCCTATTTTAATAACATAAAATCCTGCTAGAGTATAGTAATTGTTTTGGATTTCGTGGCTTCACTTGATCCCTCTGACATGCAAATTGTATTTCTTTGCTATATAACTAGCTAAATGGATCATATGCTTGTCTGTCAGATACAATTACATTTGCTATAGCTTGAGTTCATTTTTTTATACAGTATTTGAATCTGAACTGCATCTGTTTCATAGAAAAAGATCAGTGTATTGTGCAAATCTTTTATAACCCATCAATTAAAAATGATGGAGCAATTCAATATCAGTGGCTATTCAGTTGCCAAGGAGTCCATAGGCTTCTTCCCCAGAAGTGCAGACTATGAACAATCCACCTATGCTGTTTATTATATTCAGAAAAATATGTATAAAATTTCGATTCCCTGATACATTACCAAAATGTGATTTTTTTTTTGTAATTTTGAAAAAGTTGTGATGCATTCCCATATCAGATATTAAAATATGCTCGTTGATTTTTATTTATAGTCTCAGTTCTCACAGTGAGAACTGGTAATGTCAGCTTTCAAAATAGAATCTTTACTCCCCCAAAATAGTATTTTTCATTATTTGTTTCATTAATACCTACTTTAGTTACCAGTCTATGCTACTGAACTTCCTGATGCACATGGCACAAAGAGAAAATTATCTGTTTTAAGGTAAAACAATAATCCAAAATGGCCAATACTCTATTTAATTTTTCACAAAGGCTTCCACTGATTTCACATGGACATTTTATGTGAATTTAAAAATCTTACTTGGATTTGCAGCTTCAGTGGCTTCAGTAGGCCTGTGTGAAACTATCTGGCAAAATCTGAAGCATTATCTTTTTGTATTTACCTTCTTGATACTAACAGTTTGATTAAATTTATGCAAAGACTGCCTTCTATTTTCCATACACTCAGCTTGATGACTTGTGTATTCTGTGTTTAACTGTTGTTTTTATTCATAATTTATTTCTATGGATTTTTCTATAAGATTATTTTCTTTTCTGGTCTGTATGGCAGCAGTGCCTCCCTTCTTTTTTTTTTTAGAAAATTACTTGCAAAACCCCAGTGGTACACTTCTCTTTCTTGTTTATATAAGCAATTGAATTCTAAAGTTTCTATATTAAAAATAGAGTATGTAATCCTCTAGAAGTCCCAGATCTTGATCTTGTGTACTCCAGTGCTTGTGTACTCCACTGCGACAAACCCACTGAATTCTGTGTTATAAGACAATAAGCCTAAGATATTTCAGAACATTGCAAGAAAAAAAAAAAAGGCAATGCAGGTCGTTTTTCAACAGAAATGATCAGCAAGGAGTTCAGACAGAGGTAGCAATGGCTTCTCAGATGAGAAGGTATCACTCTGTTTAGGGTTTACTAGGTCAAACCCAATGCTTTAAGCTCTATACAGACATTTCCTAGGACATCTGTAGTGCAGACAGCTGATCTGTAAATTAACATTGAGGGGGCCTCAGTGAAGGTGTCCCTACCCTCTATTTAAGAAAGAGTAGAATGATTTTTCTAGAGACAAGAAAGTATAAAATATTATCTATAAAATTCCACTAGGATTCTTAAAAGCATAAGAATATGCATGCAACAAGTGGTCAAAGCTTAGGTTGTTTATTGAAATGCTCTAAAAAACTCTTTCTGGAAGTAATTACTGAAAAATCCCAGCAGTATATTCAGTTGAACAGATGTATTCTGAAAGAACATTTTAATTGTTGTCACATGAGGAGTTTTAAAGAACACTGTTACACTAAGATTTTTTGGTACTTCCACTATGCATTTTTATGTGACAGAACTGGTATTTTAGATAGAAGTGTTTTCTTCCTTTTGACAAATACTACTGTAGTTTGTTTTGAGAGTCTTTCTGACTTTAGAGAGTTGAGCTTCCCTGAGTAAATTTTGAAGAATAAAATTTACCTGTGATTCTTCTATATGCTGTCATTAATATTTTCCAGGTATTACATCACATATTTACAGGCACCATGGCTTGGTTTCTGAAAGGAACAGATACAAGAGCAATAGGCCAGATGAGTTATTTCATTAACCTTATTTCAGTGGGATTTTTGCCTGAAGGACCAAAGACCAGACCTGTGTTACTAATCTGTGTGCCATTTTCCTGTTTTCTTTCAGTGACTAACAGAGAAAGAAGAGCATTTAGTTTTATTTAGTTTGTGTTCGCAAAGGACTGCAGCCCACCCAAAATCAGTCATAACAATTTTGATGCTATGTTGTTTTCCAGGTCCATGGAAGATGGGTGAATGCCAGGTTTCATCTCAATAGATGGAGGTGTAGATTCACAGACACTGAAGCTGCTGAACTCTGAAAATACACATTTCAAAAAACAGTTTCTGACAGAAACAACGGTTTTATTTCTATAGAGGAGCAACAGCCACTGTGCAGTTTAGCAACAGTCACACACAGTTATCAGAATTATTTTGTTATTATTGCAAGCTCAAACTGTCCACAGAACACTGGCACTCCATGTGTTTTTCTTTCTTTACCTCCACCCATTTCCTTCTGTTTTTGTTGCCTGTCTCCTACCTTTCTCTCTGGTACTTGAAAAAGGTATGTAATCTCCACTTACTGCTGAGAGCCAACTTTAGGTGCCAATCAAGTGACGGTATTACAGCTTGGGTGTTTTCATTTCTTTGTTCCTCGAAATTTAGTTTTCACTCCTCTCTTTTTTTTTTTTTTTTCTTTCTTATTTTTTCCTTTTTTCCCCCCTTCTCAGCTCTGCTCTCCCCCAGTCACTTTGGATGAATCCTCAGATACTTTACAGGCCTCTTGCTTTCCCCTCCCTATGTCTCTCACTTCCCTAATGTAGTCTTAAGGTCATGACTGCTGCTGCTGCTGCAGCATTGCATCTTCTTTCTCATCCTCTTTCCTTGGTGATTTCACCCCTTCTCTGTCCCCAAGATCTTATGTTGCTGAGGGTGGAGATGAAATATTCCATAATCATACAGCAGGCCTGACAGCATTTTGGAAAGTTTTCAGAGAAAATTCCCATATTTGCCCCTGTCACCATTAGCTCACTTGTTATTTCCCAGAGGTTTCCTCTGTAATGTTCTACAAGGAACTGGTAGAAAGAAGGTAGACTGTAGTAGATAATTAATAGGAAATATTTCTTGGGACTTCTGAAAGACTACAGTTCCTGTTGAGGAAATTAGGTGTTAGAGGTTGAAAGGGAAAGTTAAGTTGTGGTTTAGAAACAGCACTGGTATTGTTTACAGAAATTAAAGTTCATTTTTAGTTCAGTATAGCCTCTATAAATCAAGCTCAAAAGTATCCTACAGTTGCAACGCAGGAGTTTGTAATGGGCTGACTGAAGAGTGCAAACCATTTCTCCCATCCATAGCTAAACTGGTGCATTGACCTGTGGCTGATGAATGGAAAAATCCCACAGGCACACTCTGTGTGCATGTGGCAGAGGGGGGATGTGTGTGTGTGTGTGGGGACATGGACAGGGAGTGTGTTTTTTTCCTGAATTATCAAAGGTTCTGAACCTCCCAGACAGGATTTCATCTGATCTTATTCTCAGTCTTGAAGCAGGGTGTGCACAGTACAACCTGGATGCTCTCTGTGGGGGTATTTATCTGCAAACCCCCTTCCCTCTCTCACTAGATTGCTGCTCAAGACTCACTGCTAAAATGACAGCCAAAATAAATCAAGAAGCATTTAGTGGTGAAGTCAGGAAAGAATGGAGGCAGATGGGGACATTTAGAAATAACAAAAAAACATTACTTACTGATTTTTGTAATTGTTTCAAATATGTGTCTGCATATACATCATCTCACCTCCCACATCCTGCTTATCCTTAGATTATTTTTTTTTTGGCATAGAAGCATGTATGTTTGGGCAGCACCTCACACAAGTTCATCCCTACTTCTGAAAGATATCCCTACTTCTGAATTTTTAATTCATATC